GCAGAGCGCCTCCCCAGCTTGCCCCTTCCCCACACAGTCCAGAGCTGGCTATCTGGGGGGCGCACGCAGACAACCCCCCCCCGGTTGCCCAGGTCCCTAGAAGGATGGGCTGACCCCCATGCTGGCAGAGAGCCGTACCTTCCGCTCCATGCGCTCCTCACGGGTCTCAGCGCGGGTGGGTGGAGGGGCATCGCGTGGGTCCTGGGCGGGGGAGAGAAGCGCGTTAGCAGGACATCAGGCGGGTGGGTGGCACAGAGATGGGCGGAAGGGGGGGGGGGGAGCCTGGCGGCTTTGGAGCAGAGAACAGAGGTGATGAGGCAAGCAGCTCTCTCCCTCCCTCCAGCCAGCGCCGCCCTGCTGGGGAGGCCGAGCTCACCTCGAACTCCCGGATGTATGGCGCGATGCCGCAGTAGGGCTGGTTGTGGTGTTTCTCATGAGGCAGCTTCTCCAGAGGGGGCAGGTAAGGGATGGGGTCTCGGGGGGCGAAGAGCGCCAGCAGGTTGGGGGGCAGGAACTGCGTCATCTTGGGAAATCTGCTGGGGGGAGGAGATGCCAGATCGTTAGATCCCACAACAAGTGCATCCCCGCCCCCCCCAAGTGTGTGGGGTCACACCCCCTCCAAGCGCTGCCAACTTAGGGGGCAGCTAAGCCCCTCCCTCCTCCTTTTGTGGGGTTCTGCTTCCCAGCAGCCCCCCCCCCCCATCTCCCCCATGGAAGCAGCCAGTTCCTGGGCAACCCATGTTCTTCTTCTGCTCCCCCCACCATAGGGTTCCTCATGCCCCCCCCCCAACGCTCCTGGGGTAACCCCCCTGGTCCACCCCCTACTGTTACTTCTGGACTCTGCCCCCCCACACCCCTTGGCACACCCTCCCCCCCACTCCAACCCCTCCCCCCACTGCTCCCCCTGGGCCTCCCCCAGCTCGCGCACAGGCCCCCCTCCCCCTAGAGCCTCCTGCTGCCCCCCCGGCCCCAGCTCCCCCCACAGCCCCGCCCCCCATAGCCCCCACTGCTCACCTCAAGCCCCTGTGGCCATTGACTCTCGCCCCCCGT